GGGGAGCTGAGCCGCCTCCAGTAGCCCCCCGAAATCCCCCCAGCTGCCCCAGGCCCCAAATCCCATTTCTCTCCCAGGGAAGGAGCGGGAGCACAACTTCCAGCCCGGGGACAACGTGGAGGTGTGCGAGGGGGAGCTCATCAACCTGCAGGGCAAGATCCTGAGCGTGGACGGCAACAAAATCACCATCATGCCCAAGCACGAGGACCTCAAGGTCTGGAGACCCCAAAGCCCCCTGAAAGGCTCTGCCCTGTCCTCAAAACCCCTTGTGCCAGCCCTGACAGGGGTGTCTCCTGCAGGACATGCTGGAGTTCCCGGCCCAGGAGCTCAGGAAGTATTTTCGGATGGGCGACCACGTGAAGGTGATCGCGGGGAGGTTCGAGGGCGACACGGGGCTGATCGTCAGGGTGGAGGAGAACTTCGTCATCCTCTTCTCCGACCTCACCATGCACGAGGTGAGTTCGGGGCAAAAAACCTGGGAAACGGGGTCAGGGGAGCATTTGGGGTCGGTTTGTGGTTTGGGGTCGGTTTGGGGTGAATCCCGGGGCTTTGGGGTCAGTTTGGGGTTTGGGGTCGGTTTGGTGTGAATCCTGGGGGTTTGGGGTCGGTCCAGGTTTGGGGTGAAATCGAGGGGCTTGTGTCAGTTCCGCTTTGGGGTCAGTCCCGGGGATTTTGGGATGAACGCCAGGGATTTTGTGTCAGTCCTGTTTTGGGGTGAATCCCGAGGATTTTGGGTGTGTTTCCCCCCAGCTGAAGGTGCTGCCCCGGGACCTGCAGCTCTGCTCCGAGACGGCGTCGGGGGTGGACGTGGGGGGGCAGCACGAGTGGGGGGAGCTGGTGCAGCTGGACCCCCAAACCGTGGGGGTGATCGTGAGGCTCGAGAGGGAAACCTTCCAGGTGAGACCCCCCAAAATGTGGGGGTGCCACAGTCACCTTCCAGGTGAGACCCCCCAAAATGTGGGGGTGCCACGGTCCCCTTCCAGGTGAGACCCCCCAAAATGTGGGGGTGCCACGGTCACCTTCCAGGTGAGACCCCCCAAAATGTGGGGGTGCCACGGTCCCCTTCCAGGTGAGACCCCTCCTAAAT